CATACTGTCAGAAGATCTCATATTGAGGAAGATGGTGATTTATGTCAAAGTTAAATTGCTGAAGATCGCATTTGCCGGGTTTAACTCGCTTAACCCCCTGCGATAAGTAGTTTTCAAACAGCCTCGAAGGTTCCACTTTACGTTAAGTAGTCCAGCGAGTAACAGTTAAAGTTTTTGAACAATAAGTGTTTACGCTATGTAAAATATAATTAACTAAAATATAAATTACTCCACCTTATTGACGAAGCATTAAGTAATTGAGCTAACCGTAAACGCACACCTTTTCTGAAATTTAACTTTCAATCTCTCGTGACAGGTCATACTGAAGAAGTACCAACACTTAGCGGCAAGATTTGTTCTCATAAATTTTGTGCTTGTACGACTATTTAATGGAAGTCCTTGCGCAAAAGAACATTTTCCAAAGAACTATAAAACTTTTGAAGGATCCCCATACGGTATATTTCAGATGACATTTTTTCTACCATTGCGTTAAGGACTTCTTATACGACAGGCATATCCTTAATTTTAAGAAGATATTTTCGGCCAATTCTTTCGGCTTGGTAAGTTTCTCTGAAAAAAGAATCCTATTACGAACTTTACTCCCAAGCATCTTGAAGACCTTGATAGTTTGTCGGAGTTGATAAACGTTTGCTGCACCCGCCTTCATCTTGTACCAGACGTATACGAAAATATTCTTCTAGAGATAATAAGGCTATGTGCTATTCCATTCAAAAGACGTATGACCACCGATGAACAGAAATATTTCCATGCCGTCGAACTAGTGCATTCACAATTGGGTAAGAGCTTTTTGTCTTCGTGGATGCTGTAATGCAAATTTGTTTTGTCCTTTCTGTCACCTGAAGCAATTTGATCAAACATGTTTTTGTTTACATTTAGCAACTCTTCTGGAATGTAAAAATTTACAGAGTGAGATCTGCCGCATGATACATAGTCTTTTACTGGAACGAAGCCCAATGTTACCGAATCGTGGTATGTTGCTGTTACCTTAATCCTGCATATGTTACATGGACATTTTGAATAAATCACGGATTTATATTCATCTAAAGATGTATCCATCAGAGCGTTTTAATGGAAGTAAAATGTTGTATGGGAGTATTTGACTGCATAAAAATATGCACAGTATGTCAAATTTTTATTATAACTGTGGACTGAGCATAAAGTAGATAGATACAATATAACGCGAATGAGAGCAATAAGTACCATTAATGCGAGGATCCCCTAGAAATTTTTTGTTTAAAGTACGTTAGATCAGTATCTATACACCCTCCACGTTTCAATGACGACGAGTAGTCAGAGATTGGCGGGCTTTCTGCAAACGTAGGCAACTGATCCATGCGTTTTATTCACACCTTTTTATTAATTTCACAAAAAAACTCACTGAAAAGTCTTTATTTGAATCAAGGACTCATGGCTTCAACTGCAAGTCTCTAAAACTTAAACCTTTTAGCTGGATTGATAGGTCTGAGTTTAATGAGCTTGCATCATCCATTACTCGTCTGCCTTACTTGACAAGTTGTTTGAGGTTGGCGTCTAGGCTATGCTTCCTTCTATGTGACCAGACTCCACATTGACAAAATGGTTAGTCTATCACAATAAAACCGAAAAATTTAATCTAAAATTGTTGCGTTAACAAAGTAAGCTTTTTAAATAAAATCTCGGATAGTTATTCTCAAGAAATTGCGAAGTTTGTCAGAATGCGTTTGTAATTACGCACACCATGAGCAAACTTGTCTAGGCTACTTCTTCTATCATGAAATATCACGCGTCTATTTGCCATCTGAATATTTTACGGTAGCGAGGACAAACATGGTGGACTTGGCAGATATTGTTTTGGGGGCGCCTGACACTGACTCTGCGGTCAAACTACAATGCAACTAGAGCTGATCCATTAGACAGCTATGCTGTTTGAATGTGCAGATAAAAATGGGTTGTTGATACAGAATCCACAATGTTGGTAAGTGTCCGGATGGTGTCCTGTTTAAATTGTCCGTATTCTCTTGAACATGAAGATGCATGCATTGATTTTAATGACAGCATAGAACAAATAAGGACTGTTTGTGATCTGGTGAATCATAAATGGACGTCTGAGGTCGATAGATCTTAAAATTCAATGTTATTAAGTCTGTACCGACTAACAAATGAAACAGTCCCTCAATTTCATTGGCAGCAGTCCTGCGCTGCCAATGTGTTTGTCTAAAAAGTTAATTACGAAGCTAAGCGGCTGCCGAGCGAGACGAACGGAATTCAAGTGGGTCAGCCTCTGAACAACTACACGTGAAACATGCGTCTGAAGGGCTTCTGATCCCCCTGCGGACCGCAGGTATACACGGGTATTGCAAAAAACCAGCGACAAGATATTCAAAATACAGTCACGGAAACCACCCTCTAGGTTTGTCTGGCCTGAGCTGACTCCGCTTTTTGCATAATTGCGCACAACCTCGCGAGCTATTGTGCTTTCTTCATGTACAGAAGTACGATTCACAAATAAATAGTTCAGGTTGCGACTAAGTAGCAAGGATTTTTATGGTTTTCATTTAAATCATGTAGGATATCGTCCTGTTTGTTGACAGTTTACCAGAGGGTGTTGGTTTCAACGACCGACCTCATGGCCAAACCGTTGAGAGGGATTGCAATCCGCATACTTCCAAGATTGGTTTTACTGTCGATAAATTCGCCATGCCCATGCCGAATTTTCCGTCTCTTAGCAGCGTCGCCAGCAAATATTACGTTGCTAGTATGCGTTTCCCTAGATGCTTTATCATTGAGTTTCTACTCATAGGAACAAAACATCTCGCCGCATACGTCTTTACGCTCTGTGTACCTGCAGTATCATCTACGGTAACACAAAACACATCAGTCACTTTAAAATGATATTCAAAAGACGCAAAGGAAAAAAGTGCACGATTACAAGTATCTCTGGCATTCTTGCGCTTAATTCCCGGTGGAGGTAAGATTTAGGATTAAGAAGATCACGGTCAGGAGGGTTACTGTTAGAGTCTGGCATAAAGCGCAGGGTCACATAAATTGAGTTCTTCTCCAAGCCTGCCCTACGTGAAGCTCTGGTTTGATTTTTTAAAAAATGGCCAAGCTACTAACAGCAAATTCTGGCTGATATAAAAGTCTTCTATGTATCTTTGCGAAGATCTGGTAGGCTTCGAAGGTGTACCCTGACGCTACCGTAACTATACTTGCCTTCTTTTTCTCCTCACGAAATTTGAAACTGCTTCAGAGGAGCACGTCTCGTTTGCCTACCTTCTGGCAGCCCTTGCACGCAGTACCGTGACGGAGGGTCTCTGCAAGGTAAGTCAAGACAAGTTACTATGTAATGCTTTGCCCTTCTCACAGCTTCTCAAGACATCTCCTCCTCAACGTCAGAAACTGCGCGTATTGGAGAACCTAAGTTTGATCTCCTCCAGATTGAGTAAGTTTCTTTCGGTGCTTTTGTCATGTTTTTAGGTGACCCGGGATTGTAGTATCGCACGTGAGTGAAAGCTACAGTTAGAGCTAACTACACCTTATAATTCGCAAAACTGCCTACCTATTTCGTAATAGTAGACATGTTTGTTTTACTAATGAAGAGAGACACGTTTGCTTTTGCCTTCCTGCTGCTCTTCCCATGCCTTTAGGTGATCCAGTGATGTAATATGGCGTGTGTTCGGCACTTCGGTCCATCAGCATTTTGTCCTTCCAACGGGTTAGCTGTTAGATGCGCTGAA